GCGAGCCAAGGCTGCTCCGAGTGAGTCTCGGCCCACCCGTCGAAAGCTCTTCCCCACGCCGCCGAAGAAGGCTGCCGAATCCTCTGACTTCTCCGGGGATGAGGACCAGGAGTTTGAGGGCTCGGGCCAGGACGAGGATCGAGATCTCTTCGCTGGCAAGTTTGCCTTGAATGAGGGGACACCGGTAGTCCGGAAGACCGCTCGCCGCCGACCCCGATCGACCAGCAAGAAGCCGAGGAAGCCCAAGTCGCCGAAGACCCAGCCTAAGACTAAGGTTGAGCATGAAGCCAAAACGGAGATGAAGAAGGAGTTCTTGAACAAGGAGAGCGACCCGGAGGGCGATTGGCCCGAAGATGCAGCTGCAACGGCTCCCGAGGTCAAGGCACCGTCGTTGGCATTGACGGACGAGGCCCAGATCGACGCCGACCTGGTGGATCTCTTGCCCACCAAGGCGAATCAGTTCCTTTGTTGCATAAAGAGTTCTCCGCAGTGTGTTCTTTTTCATGAACCTATCATTCTTGTGCAACCCCAGGAATGATCTTTCCTTGATGCAGCAGATCCTCGTGTTCGAGGATATTACCTCACTCGAGGATGCCCTGGAGCACTTGAGCGATCTGAAACCAGGTTTGCATTTGCTTGTGTTGCCGAAAACCATACGGAACTCCACTCGCTTATGCTGCATCTGTGCAATCTGTGGCAGATGACTTCCGGGCGATGCTGGGCGACGACTCCCAGAAGCTTTTCGGCAAGCTCACGCTGAAAGGCAAGAAGATCTTCACGGCATGGCCGCAGTTGCTTCAGGACATCTGCATATTGCTTCATCCTTTTGTGGAGTCTGTGAGCCGTTTGCCAATTAGCTGTTCTTCGTATCCATACAGCAGTTTATTCATCTTTCGTCCCTCAACTGTGAATGCAAACACAACGAGAGGTTCTCCCACTCACACGCTTGGCCACTCGCTCACTCGCTCACTGACTCACCCACTCATTCACGAGCTGAGTGAAAGTTCTGAAGGCTTATAATGTATCATTGTGAATTCTGGTCGACTGAATGATTCAGCAATGACTATTCTGACTATTGTTTTAACTACTGATCATACTAGTTACTAGTACTAATACTACTATTACCACTAGTGCTACTACTACCACTACTACTACTACTACTACTACTACTTCCACTACTGCTACTACTACTACTACTACTACTGCTACTACTACTACTGCTGCTGCTACTACTACTACTACTACTACTACTACTGGTAGTGCTA